TTTCACCAAAAATTAAAAAGGAAACCCACAGACTGGGAAATTTTTTTTTTCAATGACATGTCAGACATGGGACTAATCTCTATAATTTATAGGAAATTACAACAACGCTATAAGAAAAAGACAAATAACCCAATTAAAATATGGGCACAGGACATGAACAGACACTTCACCAAGGAAGATATTCAGGCAACCAACAAACATATGCATGAATGTTCACGATTATTAGCCGTTAGAGAGATACAAATCAAAACAATAATGTGATATTATCTCACACCAGAATTAACAGTGATGTTCAAAAAACAGAAAATAACAAATGCTGGTGAGGGTGTGGAAAGACTGGGAACCTCCTACATTGCTGGTGGGACTGTAAAATGGTTCAACCACTGTGGGAAAGGGTATGGCACTGCCTCAGAAAGTTGGAAATACCTTATGACCCAACAATTCTTCGACTTAGTATACATCCACAAGAAATATGAGCCAGAACACGAGCAGATCTATGCACACTAATGTTCATAGCAGCACTATTCACAATAGTAAAAAGATGGAGAGACTAAGTGCCCATCGATGGAAGAATGGACAAACAAATTTTGGTAGGTACACACAATGGAATACTATGCGACCTTGGAGAAGAATAATGAATCTGTAAAACACCACACAACATGGATGAAGCTTGAGGACATTACACTGAGTGAAATTAGTCAATCACAGTTGAGACCATTATTGTAAAACCTTAAGAAAAGATTTCCATACTAAAAGAAAAATTTTTGATGGTTACCAGGGTGAGAAGGAAGGGAGTGTATTTCACAGGATAGGGGGCTAGCAGATGATAATCTGGGTAATGGGGAGGGCAATATACAAGTAGGGATAAGGCAATACACAAGAAGGGGGAGGGTGGTAGATGAACAATGAAGATCGGGGAAAACTTAGGGAGGTATACGTGAGCTAAGTGGGATAAAAGTAAATAGTAATTTACACATAACCTTGGAACATCACTGTTCTATTATGCACTGATCGAGACATAATCTGAATGGGTAAAGGAGGAGAAAAAAATGTTTATGGGCTTGACTGTCCTGTGGATACCAGTTTCCCCTGTCTACTATTGTAAAACTGACATTTAAATGTGACAGAAATGAATACTGGGAATTATTATTACAGAAAGCTCGTAAGCCTATCTTTAGCCTATAACTAATTGGAACAGCTAAAAGGAGAATTAGAATTTTCCCAGGGAAATAGGCTTCTTATTAAGCCTTTGCAGAGTATGGGGCCTTAGTTGGAATCCTGAGTGCCACCTAAAACCTTCTGAGTTGGGACATTCCCACTTGAAAAGACATGCATACCAACCCAGAATGGCTAAAAGAACAGAAAATAATTTTTGAAAGAAAGACCAGCAGAAAAAAAAAGCAGACTGCTTGGCTGTGAGAATATCAAGCAAGCTTTTTTCTTTGGGCAAGAGAAGTTAGCACATCAGGGAAAGCCACCTTCTAAGACTGAATCTCAAAGGGAACCCACGAGCAGCCTAGTATGCTCTCTGGTGACCGCCCTGGTCTATCTGTGAGTTGAAGTGAAGGAAAATGTTAAATGAACATACAGGCTGAATTTGGCCATGTTCCATTGACACCCATTAATTTTGATATGAGAGAGAGAGAGAAGGGCTATCTGGTCTGAAGTTTGGGGAGTTGTGTGAACTCCTGAGCCCATGGACACTGACCTAATAACTGGGGGCTATAGTGGAGAGTGAAGTGCTAAGGTGGTCTAAAGTGTGGGAGGCACGTGTGAACTCCCAAACTTGCAGATAGTACCCATTTGACCTAACTTGGATGACTAGCTGAATTCAACCAGATGAAGATAAAGAAGGTTGATACTGTGAGCAAGCATAAATTGCTACATTTTGATGAACTGTGCCTTTGCTTATGGACACAGTTGCTCAAAATTCTAACTGAATGGGAGGATTCTTCATATCAAGGATCAAGCTTGTTTCCTCATTGCATTGGCTTGGTTTTGTTGTTGTTGCTGCTGTTCAGTGTTGTTGAGTAAGTTCCAACCCATAGTGACCCTGTTTAGGGTTTCCAAGGAGCAACTGGTGAATTTCAATGGCCGACCTTGCGGTTCAAACCGAGTTTGCAGTCCAGCACATCAGCCTGCAGCACCACACCAGAACTTGGCTTATAGGGGTAGGAAAGTTAGACACTATCAAAACTGGGGGGCTATAGAGGCACAAAGTGGCTGGCTTATAAACTTTCATGAATGAGCTTAGTTTCAGAATGAGGGTGGTAACGTAAAATCCCTACTGAATAGTTTTCCTCTTTTTCAGATGGATCTGATAAAAGAGGATGGGGAATGATGGTGATAGGATTTTATGGTGTAATTATTATCAAGATTAATCACCATAGCCACAACTATAATTGTAGAAACTGTGTAACTAAAAGGGGAGAGTAGTTAATCTTACATTTCAGGAACAGATGAGTCTAGGACCATCAGGAAGGAGGAGTATGAGTGGAGAGTGAAAAGCAATGATAACACCAACAACAACGTAACTTATATTAACACATGGTGGTGTTCGTGTTTTTGTTGTTTTGTGCCATCCAGTCAATTCCTACTCA